GGTGTGAAGATGGTTCTTGCAAGAATGAGACAAACTGTGAATGACGAAGTCCTTCTCAGTCCTGAGGAAATTCTATGAATGTCATGGGCAGCACAGATCATCCTGACTCTGTAACGCTTTTAAGAAATATAATCTAGTTCACACCTCCAAAGGAAATCTTATTTCGAAAAGTCTATTCATTCTCCTTTCATTCAAGGGGAACTTAGTTTCCTTGTGTTACTCAGAGCAGCAGCTACAAAATAATGAAGAATGATCAACGTGAGGATTCAAAAGGTGCATCCTAAATCCAAAGGTGATGTCTCTTGCTTGTTTATTTCACTATGAAAGGTGTTATTCTGGTACAAGATTATTTCTTGAAGCCATCTAGTTTATGAATGGCATAACTTTACTGGCAGCAAAATAAACAGAATTCACATCTCCTACAACCGGATTTCATAAATATTGTATGAGTTATGCTTGTGTGCATATAGATAACAGGAAACATGTTAAGCACGTAAGTATCAAAGAGATGTTTACCCTGTATTTGCCAGATTCCAAATAAGATAGCCTCGTATCTATCTTTAAACCTAAGTGCTGCCGACAGTTGCCTGTGTGGTCAACTGTAATTTCCTAACCCACTAACTGGCACACATTCAATTTTTGTAGGCCACAATACACTATTTTGCTCCATGCGGTGTAATGAGGGTAGATCTCAATCCAGACCACTTGATACTATAGCATTCAACAAAAACCTACCAATGAGTATTAATGTGTCAAAGGACTTAAGTCATAAATGCACGTGATGGGAAAGGCATGCATGCTCTCAAAAGGTCTGAAGTCAGAACTTTCTAGAGAATAGGGACCAAGGGGACCTAGAGCCTTGATCCAGTAGCACACCGCGCTGAGAGCACTAAATGCTTTAAGTGCTGGTGATCTATCAATACATTACATTTCTACCCTCCCGATGGCACGAAACAAAAAAAAAGGTTATTGGAAAACTATGCTTATGGTAGAAAATTAAAAGAACTAGAAAAGATAATGCGGTTTTTGCCAACTAAAGCGTACACGTTAACACACACAGAGCAAGCCCTTTGCCGTCTGGGAAACAAGCACTGGCCCAAAGCCAATGTAAGCTGTTTGGCCACGTGCTTGCCAAAGGGTAGTGACACACACTGAATCTACGGTGATTGGTTACAGTAATGGAATCACTTCAAATTAAAGCTAATCGAATATGTAATTTTACATGTCCCACAGTTCAGTTAGCTGAAACGTAATGTAATTAACTTTGTCCCTAATTAAGTATGAGGGCAGTCTGGCTCTACATTTAAAATGATGATACAAATGATGGAAAACCTACCAAGTCTTCCTGTATTATATATATGGAAGCTAGATGAACATACTTGGTGTTTTCAGTTTTGAATCTTGGAGACCGGAGCACAAGAAACACCATTATTTTCCAATACACACATGGCTTTATTGGTTTTTGAACTGCTTCATAAAAAATGATTTATATACGTTACTTTCAACAGCTTCTCCAGCATGTACTTTCAGGGACTCCTGTATTTCTTCTCTCATGAATCATTTATTTTATTTTTTTGAGAGGTGGGGAGAGGGAGAGAGAATCCTAAGCAGGCTCGATCTCATGAACTGGGAGATCATGACCTGAGCCGAAATCAAGAGTCGGACGCTTAACCGACTGAGCGACCCAGGCGCCCCTGTCGTCAATCATTTAAATAAGCATAAAGCAGTTAGCAGAAAGCTGGCCATGTTGATTTTCAAACTTTTCAATGTAGCAGATGGAATCAGTGAAATCTGGGGGGAAATGTGATTCGGTACAACTATCTGGCTTCTGAAAGTGTTGGCTTTTAGTATCTTAGATTTTATCTTATTCTAACATACAAATTTTTAAAGTTGTATGTGCAACTTTCAATTCAGCATGTGCAAGGTTTCTATTTGATACTCTTCTTTTATAGTGCTTCTGCCTCGTATAATGCAAGAAAGAAAGAAACTGTTAACTACTTGAAGTTATGAAGATATTGTCCTGTGCTTTCAGATTTCAGAAGCTTTTACTCTGGGTTTTATGTTCAGGTCTATGATCCAACTCAAACCGCTTTTTGTATACGGTATGAGATGTACGGATGAAGGTTCATTTCTTCTCCGATACGGATATCCAGTTGCTCAAGCACCACTTGTTAAAACAACCTGCCTTTCCCCATCCGGCTGGCTCGGTACCTTGATTGAACATTTTTCGATTATGTGCATGTGGATCCATTTTAGAAATCTCTATATTTTTCTACACTTACATCAATACCACATCGCATTTGTTACTATAACCCTATAGTAAGTCCTGAAATCAGATATGTAAGTCCTCCAGATTTTTGAGATTCTTTTGTTCTGGATTTTTTGCCTTTCCATATGCATTTTATTTTTTTTATTTGAGAGAGAGAGAGAACATGAGTGGGGGAGAGAGGTGGGGGGGTGGGGAGGGAGAGGGAGAGAAAATGAATCTTAACCAGTCTCCACGCTCAGTGTGGAGCCTGATGCAGGGCTCGATCTTCGACCATGACATCACGACCTGAGACAAAATCAAGAATCAGACGCTTAACTGACCGAGCCACCCAGGCACCCATCCATATGCATTTTAGAATAAACCTGCATTTTTTTAATACTCAGATTTTGAGTGCGTGAACTCTATAGGTCAATTGGGTGACGATGGATTTTTTTTAAGTTTATTTTGACAGAGTGAGAATGCAAAAGTAGAATAGGGTCAGAGAGAGAGAGAGGGAGAGGGGGAGAGAGAGAGGGAGGGGGAGAGAGAGGGAGAGAGAGAGGGAGAGACGGAGGGAGAGAGGGAGAGGGAGAGAGGGAGGGAGAGAGGGAGGGAGAGAGGGAGAGGGAGAGGGAGAGGGAGAGGGAGAGAATCCCAAGTAGGCTCAGCACTGGCAGAGCCCCAATGAGGGCTTGAACTCATGAACCGTGAGATCGTGACCTGAGCCAAAACTAAGAGTTGGACACTTAACTGATTGAGCCATGCAGGTGCCTCAGGGGACAATGGATTTCTTAACAACACTGAGATTTCTTAACAACACTGTGATTTCCAATCCTTAAACATGGTATCTCTCCCTCCCCCTTATTAAGTTCTCTTATATATATCTCAGCAGTGATTCGTGGTTGTCAGTATAGAAGGCTTAGACATCTGTTGTTAAGATTTATCCCTATTTATTTTACATTTTATATTACTAATGTAAATGGTATTGTTTTTTGAAATCAGTTTTTTCAATTCTCTGTGGCTAGGATCGAGAATTACAGTTTATTTTGTATAATGATTTTGTACACTCTGGCCTTATAAAATTTTATTACTTCTACTAGGGTCTTTTTGTGTAGAGGTTCCTTATGGTTTTGTACAAATACGTGATGTGCTCAGCATGACGGCGCTGCCTCTTCCCTTCGTTTTGTTCTCTCTTTATCTTGAGTTATGAAAATGGCTATAATAGAAATGGTGAGAGTGAATATCCTTGGCTTGTTCCCAATCTCAGGGCGAAGGCTTCCAATATTTCACCATTAAGTATGATGTTAGTTGTGGTTCTTCATGAGCGTACATGATCAGATTGAGGAAATTCCCTTTATTCGTCGGGTGAGAGTTTTTTTCACGGATGAATATGGACTCTTGTCAGCTATTTAAAGGATGACATAATTTCCCCCTCTGTTACGTTCATATGGTGAATTGCGGTGACTTTTAAGTTTGTAATACAAGTATCTGAACATCCAATTTGAAGTAGTTCTAAGTTCTCTTTTTTGTCCCACGTGTTCCTTGGAGGTGCGTTGCTTACCACCCAGAGATCCACGGACATCCATTTCTAATGCTTTTTAAGACTTTATATGATTACAGTCTTCTGAAATTTATTGGGACTTATTGTAATGACCCAGCATATGATCTATCTTGGTGAATGTTCCATGTACACTTAAAAATAATGGTGTATTCTACAGTCGTTGGGTGCAGGTTTTAAGTAAATGTCAACTAGTTCAGATATGTCAGACTCTCCTGATTACTAATTATGTAATTCATTCAAAAATTATCTAAATAATTCAACAACCGGTGAGGAAAAACTCTAAAAGGTGACCCAGATTTAGGGTACCTAAAAAAGCAAACAAGAAGTGACCTTTATTTATTTAATCTCTATACCCAACCTCTATACCATTTAATCTCTATACCATCTAATCTCTATCCCCAACGTGGGGCTTGAACTCACGACCTTGAGCTCAAGAGTCGCATGCTCTTCTAACTGAGCCAATACAGAATTCTAATACAAGTCCAAAACTAGGAATTCAAAGGAAATATGTGCATATGATAATAATGTTCACAAAAAGTCTGTGTTTTCGTGGGGTTTTTTTTTTTTGGTGATACCTGTTGATAGATAGCTCAGTATTACTTAGGGGGAAAATGTAAAAGAATACTGGTTTATTTTCAAATACAGAAATTTTATGTATTAAGTGTAGGGTTAATAGAAGGGAATATTAGGTCAGCACTCATTACTTTATGCTACCTTCATATATTACGTCTTGGACACAGACACGAGTGTGTGTGTGTATGTGGCTGAAAGCTAACATAAGGAAACAACATACTCAGAACTGAGTGAAATACACTGGTAAAGCGTTCTTGGACAGTATAAGGCCGGTACTTTAAAAGCACATCATCAGTATTTAGTTCTGAAGGATCTCTTACAAGACACCTTGGTATCTGAGACTCTCTTCCATACCAGTCAACCTCGTAGGGAAAAGTGTAACATGTTTTAAAAATCTTTCTTCATTATTTTAAAGCTATGAAAGGAAAAAAATAAAATAAAATCCTAGCCAACATAATATGCTTGCAGCTCTATTTCTAAGTGCAGAGAAGTTCTTGCCTATGTCGACTGCATCCTTGGTGAAGCTTTAAAACTGCTAGCCTTTAAACAAACAGTATACAGTCTGTTCATATTATACCTGTAACTTTGGCATTCCGAAACCTATAGTCACCAATTAAAATCTGCGAAGTATTCCCGGGAATCAGACCTTCTTTTCTTCTGTTTAGATTTTTCACCAACCTAAATGATAAATGAATTAGTAGCCAACAGTGGTAATATACGGTAACGACAACAACAAAAAACACATGTAATCCAATGACCTTCGTGACACTGTGCTTGAGTCCTGTGAGTGACCTACAAGGGACTTAGGTTACTAGCAAAAATGCTGATTACTTTAATGATCCATCATTACTTTTCACCCTGGCCTGTACTCGTCCACCTTTAGAGTCAAAGTACACACTCCATGTAGCCTTTCAGCTAAAGTCATGGGCACAGTGAAGACAACAATCATTTCATAGCAAAGTTCCAAAAGATTTATGGAAGTTTCGCTCACTCAGTCCTCTCCCAAACAAGATTTCCTTCCTGCTTTGGACTCTCTATAATTACACAGTATATTCGGCAGAACCATCTTGGCAATCGGTGCTAAATGAAGTCAAATGCATTAGAGTAGAATGGTAGGACTAAAAAGTCAATATGTGAATTGACAAAGAGAAGGTGACTGTGTCGTAAAGTAGCAAAGCATGGTTCCTGGCACACACTGGTAGGCATTCATTAAAAATGAGATGAGTTAATGAGTGACTTCAACGACCAAATGTAGTGGGATCTGTAGCCATTACAAAGCCAGGTCTCTCAGTTGAAATGTCTGAGCCAAGGGTAAACCACAAAAGAGCATGCAGACTCATAGCATTTCATTCTTTCAAAGCATGTTTCACTCACCAAAGGTTAACATTCCTTTCAGTGAGCTATATAGGCATAGCTGAAGCAATGAAAATGAGATACTGATAAGAAATGTGATATTTCTGCTTCTTGGGACTGTATAACAAAGATACAAGTAAAGCGGAACATTTGATTAGATATGCATGTGCCCCCGGCAAAGGTCATCATAACCACTGAGAACACACTTACCATTGACCTTCGGCATCTTCATGAAGAAACTGAAAGACATCTCCATTTCTGATCAGGAGGTCTTCTGGGCCTCTCTTCCTGCCATCTGCTAGGGCTTTGTAATTGCCTGGAGACTATAAGGTTGTTTTGAAAGATCACATTACAAATTTGACTATAAAACGGCCTGGGTAACTGCATGCTCTATGACATAAAGAATTCACTCTTCAGTGGGAATAGTGGTGGCTACAGCAGCCCAGCGGGGATGACCAAACACGGAACCATTTGTGATGGGGGAAGAAAAAGCAGAACATGGCCTTATGGAGCCTGAAGAATTCATTTTTATTTGCAAAAAAGAGAAGTAGAGCACAAACTACACAGAAAATAACAGAGCACGATGACTTTAACTTCTATGAATTATAAGCACAAACCCACGGGGCACCTGGGTGGCTCCGTCGGTTAGGCGTCTGGCTCTTGATTTCGGCTCAGGTCGTGATGTCACAGTTTCGTGAGCTGTGAGCTCAGGCCCCGCATCGGGCTCTGTGCTGTGAGCCCAGAGCCTGCTTGGGATTCTCTCTGTTCCTCTTTCTCTGCCCCTCCCCCCGCCTCTCTCTCAAAGTAAATAAACTTTAAAAAAAAAAAAAAAAAAAGCATAAACCCAGAAAAAAAACCCAGTGTGAAACTAATTTTTCAATACGGTTACTTGTAAACTGCTCCCATGGAAAATTTATCTAGACACACACAAAAGGCAGCAGCCCTAAGCAAAGACTCACTAACACCCTCAAAAGGATTTCTGGGATTTGTATCATTTTGCACAGGTAAAAGTAATGAACACAGACATTCTGGGTCCAATAAAAGCACATTAAACCATAATGTTGTGCTTAACTTGGCCTTAATCTTTTGACAGCTATCATGTGAGCTTGATTCATTAAGAAGCTAAATAAATTATCTAAGGCCCACTGATTGCACTTTGCTACAACGTAGAGAGAGACGAAATAATTTTCAAGTCCAGAAGTAGTCTTTTTTTAAAGATTTTATTTTTAAGTAATCTCGGGGTGCCCGGGTGGCTCAGTTGGTTAAGCGCCCGACTCTCGATTTCAGCTCAGGTCATGATCTCGTGGTTCGTGGCATCGAGCCTCATGTCAGCGCAGAGCCTGCTTGGGGTTCTGTCTCTCCTCTCTCTCTCTGCTCCTCCCTCGGCTCGTGCTTGCTCTCTCAAAATAAATACATAAATAAATAAACTTACAAAGAAAAAAAAGAATTTATTTTCAAGTAATCTCTTGAATTTTAACCCAGTGCAGAGCTTGAACTCACAACCCCAAGATCAAGAGTCGCGTGCTCCACCGTCGGAGCCTGCCAGGCTCCCCAAGTCCAAAGGTGCCCTGAGATGAGGAATTTTCCAGCACAGCAGCTCACCCACTGAAGACGGGCATTTAAAAAGAGTACCGTAACTAAAAATCTTTTAAATGAAAGAGTCACGTGGTATCGATTCTTTGCACATGCCAAGGAATTAACCTGAAAACAATATCCACATCACTCGGGCCAAACATCTTTTGAGCAGTACTTTCCATCAGCCTAACAGAGCGGCTCATTGCAACCCATTTTACTTTTTGCTCTCTCGTATGTTCTCCTTAGTAGCGCAACTCAGGGAATAACGGCGAGGTGACAGAGCTTACAGGGTCTTCTCCATCTCTGTCCCCATCCCCTGTGATGAAAGTCACGCTGCCTCCACGCTTCGTTTTCTGCCACCGTGGCTGGGAAAGGGCTTACTCAGCACCTTGATAGCTCCTGACGAGCCCTTCACAGAGCATCTGCAGAAAACATCTAAACCCGAACTGGCTTCCTCTGAATTTTTGCTCACGTCTGAACTCTCTCTCCCGTCCTCAGATAGTATTTAATTAAGGAAACTCCCGTCCAAATATGTATTACGGTCACTGTTTCATTCAGAGAAAGACTACTGTTAACTTTTTTTGAAGGTCTGATTTATTTTTGAGAGAGAGAGTGAGGAAGCACAGGGGAGACAGAGAGGGAGACAGAGGATCTGAAGCGGGCTCTGCACTGACAGGAGAGAGCCCGATGCGGGGCCCGGACCCACGAACGAGATCATGAGCCGGGCTGAAGTCAGATGCCTAGTCAACTGGGCCACCCAGGCGCCCCTAATTCTGTTACCTTTTTAAAGAAAGCATTCCAGGGTCGGCGCTGCGCAGCTCTGTGACTATCCACACCAGTAACTCCCTTAGCCCAACATGAGAACAGCCCAACTGCATTTGCTGCTATGAAGGGCACCGAGGAGAGGTCCACTCCACAGGAGTGTTCCCACCCTCCAAGCTGCTGACCTCAGAAAACTGTAGACAGAACCCTCAACAGTCCTAAATGCCTCTCTCCTAATAATTGGCTCGGATCCTAACCACAGCACACACTATTTCTTCCAGAAGTTACTTTTACTCTAAAACAAACTTTTAGTTTTATGGGGTGCTCCCTTGCTCCATCAGGCCGATGTGGCACCACTGACACGTTTTGGCCACCCACAAAAATGTGCTCCCCAGATGTTATCAAAGAGTTTCATACGTGTAAAGTTTATTCCCTAGGTTTTCCAATCTGGAATCGAAACTGATCGTTAAAGTAGACGTGACTCTCTCCTGTGCTCTCTGATCTTATCTCCGCCGCTGCGATTGAAGACAGGGGTGAAGTTCAACGAGAGAGAAAACTGGTCCATGTACAGAGACGCGGAACTAACAGACCAGATGTCCCACCAACCTCAGCAAGAGCGCCACAGGGAGCTCAAACCGGTTCTACCGGCAGAGGGGAGTGCTTACTAATGAATGTTCCCGGTAAGACTGGTTCCAAATCTTTTGGCTACGAAATACACCTAACGGCCTCGAGGATCTGGACGGAAGACTGCCCCCACGTGCCTCACTATTGCATCAGTAAAACTGCCCCAACCGTTTTTCTTTATTTATTTACTTGCATATGTCATTACTGACCATTAGGGGCCTTTCTTCTTCTTCATTGTCATCATAAGAAGAATAGAAATAGTTGCTTGACCACTCCTCAGGGTCTTCAGAAATTTCTGCAGGTGCTGACATCTGGGTCCAAACTAGAAGAAAAACATGGAGGGGGGGCAGTTCCTTAATGGTGCTGGTCTAACACAGGGAGTGAAATCATCAAGGCTATAACCGTCAGTGGCCCAGAACAGTATCTTTATATAATAACACCTCCAATTAGACTGTACTAGTTTAGAATTTCTGATATTTCAGAAAGGGCCTGGAATGTCATATACTTCTGTTACTTCCTAGGATGGTTGCAAGTTGGAGCTGGTGGGAGAATTATTAAAACTAGTAAGTTAAATAACATTCCAGAGAATATTGACCCTTTCGATATAGAGAATATTATAGAGAAGAGAATATAATCCCTGCCAAAGTTGTTTTCTATGGAATTGCTATTGGTCCTACTCAAACAGCACTTGCAACATCCTACCTAATAATATTAGCTCTGACCTGTCTTACTTCCTTACTAGGCAAAGACCGTGGGTCATACATAATATATCCATAAGAGTCCTGCGTGTAAGAGGTGCTTAATTCATAAAATATATCAGGGGCGCCTGGGTGGCTCAGTCGGCTAAGTGTCCGACTTCGGCTCAGGTCATGATCTCACAGTTCGTGAGTTCGAGCCCCGCGTCAGGCTCTGTGCTGACAGCTCGGAGCCTGGAGCGTGCTTCGGATTCTGTGTCTCCCTCTCTCTCTCTCCCCCTCCCCCACTCATGAGCGCGCTCTGTCTCTCTCTCTCAAAAATAAATATACATTAAAAAAAAATTAAAGGGGCGCCTGGGCGGCTCAGTTGGTTAAGCATCCAACTTAGGCTCAGGTCATGATCTCGTGGTTTGTGAGTTCGAGCCCGCATCGGGCTCTGTGCTGACAGCATAGAGCCTGCTTGCGATCCTCTGTCCCTCTCTGTCTCTGCCCCTCCCCAGCTCTCACTGTCTCTCTCAAAAAAATAAATAAAATAAATAAAAACATTAAAAAATAAAATAAAAATATATTGAATTGATACAGACTAAATAATCTCATCCAGGCAGAGAACTAACAGAATCTCATCTTGGCCACACTAAACTATTCATGTTATCTTGGAAAAATCACGTCAAATTTCTCTAACTTGGTTTCCTCATCTGGCAAATGAAGGCAACGGTACCAGGCCCTCATCCTGACTGTTCAAGGGGCCGCAGCATAGATGACCTGAAGGAAGTGACTTTCAGTTGAACAAGGCTGTCATTGCTTGTTTCTCTTCAACTAGGAGAGAACTCGTCCGGACTGAGGACCTTCTTATTTACGTATCAAGTATCAGACATTTGCTAAGCATTTCTCTTAAGCATTTTTCTAGAAAAGTCTATGCTGTTTATCCCAGAGTTGTATAGATGACCCTGCCAGGTGCTTCTACAGCAATCTATTATATTTCTCTATTATAACACAGTAATTGCCTCTTAAATGATTGTTGTACCCTCCTGGCTTCATAGGGATGGCAACTGAGTGTATCTTTTTGTTTGTTTGTTTTTTTAAAGTAGGTTTCACACCCAGTGCAGGGCCCAGTGTGGGTCTTGAACTCACATCCCTGAGATCAAGACCTGAGCTGAGATCAAGAATCAGAGGCTTAACCGAATGAACTACCCGGGTGCCCCACAACTGAGTGCATCTTAAACAGACTGTATGCCCAAAGCTTTGCACAATTCCTGGCACACAGCCCGGGTTATAGTTGTTGAATTAACCACCTTGTTTGAAATCAGCTTAAATGACACAATTTGCAAAAAAATAAGTAAAGATTCCAGCTGTAAATGACTCTTCTCTATTCATTAAAGCTATGGTGAGTGAAGTGTGCATTCCTCGAAGCCAGGAGATGTTTCACTCATCTCTGTACTCAGTGGGTGAAGCGTCGGACTTCGGCTCGGGTCGTGATCTCGCGGTTTGTGGGTTCGAGCCCCGCGTCGGGCTCTGGGCTGATGGCTCGGAGCCTGGAGCCTGCTTCCGATTCTGCGTCTCCCTCTCTCTCTGCCCCTCCCCCTTTCATGCTCTGTCTCTCTCTGCCTCAAAAATAAATACACGTTAAAAAAATTAAAAAAAAAAAAAAAAAAAAGAAGAACCACATAGAGAACATGTTAAATCACACATGGCTGGGTCTCACTCCCAGAGTTTCTGACTAAGAAGGTCTGGGGCAGACCCAGAGAGTCTGTCTTCCTTAAAAGTTCCCACGTGATGCTGATGCTACTGGTCCAGGCACAGCTCTGACACCCGAGCGGCAGGGCCCGCCAGTGTTATCTTGCACGCCGAAAACAAAAGGACCTTATGAAAATGGGTTAATTTGGCTTTCTCTATACTAAGGTAGGGGACAGGAAGATTTTCCAAATTAACCACGGGAGGAAACACTGTGCACAGCCATGAGTCTTACCTTCCCACGGCCACTGTGCATACCTGTGTTCGCTTTGGCCTTAACCAGTGGGATGGTCTCCCGGACGTCCACCACAGCGCTGCCGTGTTCTGATTCAGTCTCCTCGGCACCCATAAAGGATCCGTGTTGCCTTCTGAGACAGTAAGTGTGTAAAAACAAGTGAGCTTTTATATGCTTTAAGAGTCACAAGAAATTAAAGATGGACGTTTTCCCACTGATCTTGTGCGTTAGGAACATGCTCTAAGAATCATTCAAACCCAGCTGACTGCCCCCTGAATTTCAGCCCGTGGAATGATAGTAATAGCAGAAAAGCTGATCCAAGCCAGCAGGATCTCTCTTTAACACAGAAGGAAAAATGTACTCCCTTCAGGGCCCACGACAGGTATAGTGTTTAAAATTCTTATCCTGTGCTGTATTATATGATTGAAATTTGCTGAGAGGTAGACCTTTTTTTTAAATAATTTTTTTTAAAGTTTATCTATTTATTTTGAGAGAGAGAGAGAGAAAGAGAGAGAAAGATTGATTGATTGAGAATCCCCAGCAGGCTCCATGCCACCAGCACAGAGCCTGACAACACGGGGCTCGAACTCAAGAACCGTGAGATCATGACCTGAGCCGAAATCAAGAGCAAGATGCTTAACCGACTGAGCCACCCAGGCGCCCCTGCTAAGAGGTGGACTTTAATGCTCTCATGACACACACAAAAGGATGGTTGGGATTAATATTTCACAACGTGTATGTATATCAAGCCGAGTTTTAAATATATATCGTTTTTAATTGTCGACTATAATTCAATACAGTTGGGAAAATGGAAACAAAAAAGTCCCATAAAAGGAGGAATTTATTGGCTCTTGTAACTGAAAGTCTAAGGATTAACACTGGACACATATGGATCCAGGAGCTTAAATAATGTCATCAGGAATCTTTTCTATTTCAGCATGGCTCTTCCTCTGTGCGGCAGTGACTGCCGGTCCTTTGTTACTCTTACAACTCTCTTTCTCCAATCAGATTGAAGGTGACCAAAAATATTTTGAACAGAAAGCCGCAAGTGCAGCCATTGTTTGCCAACACGCTACTCCCTCCAGGATATACTGAGGACAAAGCATCTGTAATCATGTTTAAAAATTAGCCCAGGGGCGTCTGCATGCCTCCGTCAGTTAAGCATCTCACTCGTAATTTCGGCTCGGGTCACGATCTCATGATTGTGGGATCAAGCCCTGCGTCGGCCTCTGTGCCGGGTGTGGAACCAGATTGAGACTCTCCCTCTCTCTTCCTCCTCGTCTTCCCCTCCTGTGCTCGTGTGCGCACACACATTCTCTCTCTCAATAAACAAACAGGTAGATAGATAGATGAACATCCTCTCAATAAAGAGGTAGATGGATAGATGGAAAGAAAGAATAAAATAAAATAAAAATTAGCCCAAACTCTGGGGCGCCTGGGTGGCTCAGTCGGTTAAGCGTCCGACTTCAGCTCAGATCATGATCTCACAGTTACTGAGTTCGAACCCCACGTCAGGCTCTGTGCTGACAGCTCAGAGCCTGGAGCCTGCTTCGGATTCTGTCTCTCTCTCTCTCTGCTCCTCCCCCACTCATGCTTTCAATCTCTCTCTCCTTCAAAAATAAAGAAACATTTAAAAAAATTAGCCCAAACTCTCATATTATTTTTAACATCCAGAGAAACAATAGGATAATATTAAGGACCATTAGGCTCCACGTATAAGGATAGAGCTGAAAAGATGATGTATTTGTGGAATTTGATGAGTTACTCCTAAAAGGGAGGGTAGTTTATGTCAGAGATACTTTATAATAACATTGTCTCGTGGACATACAGAAAACAGAAGACGGCCGGAGTGATAATTTCTTAAAGAATAATCACTTACGCATCAATCTGCTGAGTAGGAAGCTGATCCTGTTGTGTTAACTGATTGTGTTGCTTTCGTTTTTTAACTGTGAAAGAAAACAAAGCTTATGGGAGCACCATTCACAAGCCGCACTTCTTCCATGAATCATGCACACGCATGCACGTACGTGTACACACACACACACACACACACACACACACACACCCCATTCCCATTAGAATTAACCTTCACAGACCGGAAATAACCAGGGGAAAAGGCCGGTCTGGATGTGAAATATGGAAAAGGACTGAACTACGTAGTATTTTATCAAGAAATTCAAGTTTATAACTGTAACCATCACCCTGCGAACATTACTTGAGGTCCCTGGCAGAGTTCACTCATGGGAAGGACCTAGAGTTAATACAGTTAGTTTGCTGTGTTACTTCTCAAGCACTGGAGTTCACTTGCCAGTATAAAGTTCATTCACCAAGAGAGTTCAAAAAACCCCTTGAACCTTGGTCTTCTACTAATTAGTTTAACAAACCGTTTCACTATAAATAGTATAAAGTAAATATCAGCCCCATTCCCGGTACAAATTATCCCAAAACAGGAGTCAATGAGCTGTTACTGTACTTCTTGTTCTGAAGAATGCAAGCTTGAAATTACCTGTCATAAGTTCCTGTTGCTTCAACAAAATACTTCTTATCTCTTTTAACCATGTCATTTTCACATCGACATTCGGAGCCTAAAGATTTTCAAAAGGGAGGAGGAGAGGACAGGTTTCCTTTGAAAAAGAACGCTTCACAACAAAACAAATGTAACTAAGTATATCACACATGATCTACATCCCAAACCACCAAATTCAAACTCTACCATTTGATTCTTAAAACTTCTAAGAAGTAGGTAGCCATCAGATGAGATGAGATCGTCAAAACCCTTTTGAAACTGCCCTTAAAAAAATAATGCTCAGGTAAAAAAAAAAAAAATAATGCTCAGAGAAAAAGCACAATACAATCTAACTTATTTTTCCTTTGTAGGAGGGTCCTTTTAAAAATATAAACGTTGACGGGAACCCTCTTGCCCTGTTGGTGGGAATGCAAACTGGGGCAGCCGCTCTGGAAAACAGTGTGGAGGTTCCTCAAAAAATTAAAAATAGAACTACCCTAGGACCCAGCAATAGCACTGCTAAGAATTTACCCAAGGGATCCAGGAGGGCTGATGCAGAGGGGCACTTGGACCCCAATGTTTACAGCAGCACTTTCAACAATGGCCAAATGATGGAAAGAGCCTAAATGTCCATCAACCGATGAATAGGTAAAAAAGTTGTGGTTTATATATACAATGGAATACTACGTGGCAATGAGAAAGAATGAAATATGGCCTTTTGTCGCAACGTGGATGGGACTGGAGAGTGTTATGCCAAGTGAAATAAGTCATACAGACAAAGACAGATACCATATGCTTTCACTCTTATGTGGATCCTGAGAAACTGAACAGAAAACTGTGGGGGAGGGGAAGGGGAAAAATAGTTTCAAACCGAGAGGGAGGGAGGCAAACCATAAGAGACTCTTAAATACAGAGAACAAACTAAGGGTAGATGGGGGGGTGGGGGAGGTGGGAAATCGGTAATGGGCATTGAGGAGGGCACTTGTTGGGATGAGCACTGGGTGTTGTATGGAAGCGATGAATCATGGGAATCTACCCCCAAAACCAAGAGCACCCTGTACACACTGTATGTTAGCCAATTTGACAATAAATTATATTTATTAAATAAATAAAATTATATTTATATATACATGTATATGTATATGTATATGTATATGTATATATACACGTATATATAAACACTTTTATGTTTAATTTTGGTAAAAATGAAACAAGTTCTCCTGATTCTGAAAAGACAATCTACTGTAATCTTGATAACTTACAAGTTTGTAAAAGGACAGCAAGAAGTCTTATATGTAAATCAAACTCAGAAAATGTATTTTTATGAATTCTTATCACCTAATATAGAACTAAAACAAAGAAACACCACTGAGCAATTTCAACAAATAACAGCACATTCACAGGTCACAAGTCATATACAAATACTTATCACGATGACAATATCCTCTTGAAATGCTCTCATTCGTCTCCCCTTCCCTGAAACAGGTTGGACCTTATAGTGCATCAGGCCAGGGCTTTAAGCGTATGTTTATTTTTTTCATCATGATAAGGGTACTCTGAAGCAAATTTTTGAGAGACAATGATCAAATCTGAACTGTCATATCACTGCATCTCACAAATGAGAATACCAAGCCCAAGAAAAACTCATAACCATTTGAAATCTGTAACTCTAGATGCTTGACGGGGACAGAGAAGCCCTGCCAAGTTCTTGGCTATCAGCTCCGGTTGATAAGTATCCTTGTAGTTCTAAAACTTCAAAGCCCTAGAGGGCCACCCGGGTGGTTCAGTCGGCTAAGCGTCCAACTCTTGACCTTGGCTCAGGTCACAGTGCCACAGTTTGTGAGCTTGAGCCCCAAGTCGGGCATCTGCACTGATGGCAAGGAGCCTGCTTGGGATTCTGTCTCTCCTTCTCTCTGCCCCTCCCTTGCTTGTGCTCTCTCTCTCTTTCACAATAAATAAACAAACTTAAAAAAATTCATTTAAAAACTCAAAGCCCGAGAAAGCACCATAGACCCAATCAAGTTAAAGAAAACATGTGCTACTGAAAAAATGCTTGATTACACCACAAAAAATATGAAATAATATTTAAGCGACCTAAGTGAGAGGAATGAGAACTTTTATAATGGAACCAAAATTATTTTTGTTTGTTGCAGGTTATGGCTTCTAGAATAATTCTTAAAGGACTAACCTGGACAATATAAACTTCTTCCTTGCCAGCATACCAGATTTCAAACTTGCGGTTATCTCCTTTTACGTATTCAGTGATGCCAACTTCATCCATCTAGAATATGTTAGTCAAAATTGTCATGAGGGTTTTATTTGGAATATGAAATTACATTAAATCTACACTCGTCATACTCTAAATGAAACAGAATTTCTCACTGGGCAAAATACACATTTTATATTCAAGAATATGAAATGATAAATACAACCACAGACCTGAGTATTTAAGTGTTTTCACTGAGCCATGCACTTACAGTATAGATTACATACTCCATTCCAGTGATGGAAACAAATGTTACAAATCTGAACCCCCAACTAGTCCCCATAAGATCGAACCCCATTACAATTAACTGCACACTATGGAAACAAATTATTGTGTCAAACGCAGAACTAAAAGTAATTAAACATCAATAAAAAAGCTCATCCCAAAGTAATTTAAATGGTTACTTTTAATAATCCTTTGTCAGATAAATTCATCTGACAGATTATTACTTATCTCTATGGAAGCCTTATAAGTGATAAACAACCAATTTATGGGGTGGGGGAAAACCAGCTAGGTACGCAAGGGTCCCCTCTATTCCACCAACCTCTCAGCCTCTCTGGAAAACAAATTATCTGTCATAGCAGAGTGAGATCTTCCTGTAGCCAGTGAAATTGTTTTTTTAATGTTTATTTACTTAGTTTTGAGAGAGCGAGAGAGAGAGCACGAGCAGGGTAGGGGCAGAGAGAGACAGACAGAGAATCCCAAGCAGGCTCCATATTGTCAGCGCAGAGACATGGGGCTCGAACTCACGAATTGTGAGATCACGATCTGATCGAAATCAATTAACCGACAGAGCCACCCAGTCGCCCCAACCAGTGAAGTTTTTGTATGCAATATCCCTTCCTTACCACAATTTTTTCTTCCCTGTATGATTGTGCAAAGCACAAACTTTTCAATTTTCTTTCATCCTGTGCTAATAGCTTGGTTAATTCTATTTTGTGCCATATCACTCCCTCACACACACATTCTCTTTTAGTTCTCTTCTGCCTTCTGTTTTTGTTCAATTCCCGTCTAATTATCTAAAGGAATATCTCATTCTTTGTTCCATTTATAAGTACCCCAAACAGCGCTGATTAGAGTTACTAAGCATTAAAAGTACCCCTAGTGAGGTCACCATATCAAGGGAAAGAAAAGGGGAGCACCTGGGTGGCTTAGTTGGTTAAGCATCCGACTTCAGCTCAGGTCATGATCTCATGGTTTACGAGTGAATTCGAGCCCCATTCTCTCTCTCCCTCTCTCTCTGCCTCTCCCTTGTTTGTGCATGTGTACTCTCTCTCTCTCTCTCTCTCTTTCTCAAAATAAACATACACTGAAAAAAGGGAAAGAAAGGGGATTATGCTTAGAAATGAGATGCATACATACAAGAGTCTCTGATGTCTACCCTGAACGTGGTCCCATGTTACTTCCAGAGTCTCCAAAAATACTTTTTAAGGTTCTTTTTTTAAAGTTTATTTATTTATTTTGAGAGAAAGAAAGAGAATCTCAAGCAGGCTCCATGCCGTCAGTGCTGAGCCTGGTGCGGGTCTTGATCTCACAAACCATGAGATCATGATCTCAGCGGAAATCAAGAGTTGGGATGCTTAACCAACTGAGCCACCCAGGCGCCCCTTCTTTTGAGAGAGAGAGAGAGAGAGACAGAGACAGAGAGCGAGCGAGCATGTGCACAAGCAGAGGTGAGGGGCAGAGGGAGAGAAACTTAAGCACTGAGCATGGAAAAATACCTTCATATTCCTACTCAACCGCCCCAACTAAACGTACTTTGGCTGAAACATCGGGATTTAAGATAAATAATAACCTCATGTTCAATCTCTATTTAAATTGATTGCATTTCAACACATACTTTTAATCGCTTAAGATGGATCACACCTGGGCTTTGGAGTCTGCGGGCCCAGGTTGGAATTTCACCTCGTATTATTAAGAGCTATGTGTTCTGATGGAAGTTGCTTAACCTTTCTGAATGGCAGTTTCCTCAACTCTAAAACGGAAAGAATACCTTCTTCACAGGGTAGATTAAAGGATTAAATAGGATGCATTAAATGCTTAGATCGTATAATGAGCTTTTCAAAGTATGAGTTTGCTTTGTAAACTTTCCCTTGTTTGAATTGCAGTTTTGTTATTTTTGACTTCATACCTATAGCATACATAGCATTATAGATTAAATGAGTTTTTGATTTGCCCTGGTAATCTAACCATGATGTCGATCAGACAATCTTGTTCTGAGATTCAAAAAAGTCACTTACAAATGATCTACTGGAATGCAAAGGTTTTACTGAAAGGTTGTCAGTTGTTACTAAATGTTACGATACCATGAAGTGTTTACTATACCGTGAAATTTACTCCGTTTTAGAATCTAGGGGTAGTTAAAGGTCTAACTATATGCATACAGTTATATAGTACTCTATAGTACATATATAATATATATATATATATATATATACACACACACACACACACATATATAATAACAAGCCTGATTCTATAGTTACATCCGAATTGTGGTCTCTGCTGCATCTATTATATTTGCATTCATATTCCTGGTAGCTATGAATATAAATCCTTTATTATAAAGCATTTTATCTGAAGACATCTCAGTGTGTCAAGTATTAAGGGCTCCAACTTGTAACCTAATTTTTTGTCATCAAGGTAATGTAAAGATGTCAAATCTTTACATTGTTAAAAGTCATCCAGTGGGTCAAGAACTCGGCAACGATCACCAACTACTACCAAGCTGAAGATATTTATATGTATGGAATAGAATGTATTTACTTCTTGGGTTAGTATAATTTAAAATATTGAGGGCCTGGGGCTCCTGGGTGGCGCAGTCGGTTAAGCGTCCGACTTCAGCTCAGGTCACGATCTTGCGGTCCGGGAGTTCGAGCCCTGCGTCGGGCTCTGGGCTGATGGCTCAGAGCCTGGAGCCTGTTTCAGATTCTGTGTCTCCCTCTCTCTCTGCCCCTCCCCCGTTCATACTCTGTCTCTCTCTGTCTCAAAAATAAATAAACGTTAAAATATTGAGGGCCATCTGGGTGGCTCAGTTAGTTAACCATCCGATTCTTGATATCGGCTCAGGTTGTGATCTCATGGTAGCAGGATCGAGCCCCGCGTGGGGCTCTGCGCTGAGCCTGGAGCGTGCTCGGGATTCTCTCTCTCCATCTCTTTCTGTCCCTGACTCACTCGCGCTCTCTCAAAATTAAATAAGACAGACATTTGTTTTTAAAAAAATTATTTTATTTTTTAATGTTTATTTACTTTTGAGAGAGAGAGAGTGTGTGTGTGTGTGCGCACAAGTGGAGGAGGGGCAGAGAGAGGAGGACAGATAATCCAAAGCGGGCTCTGTGCTGACAGCAGACAGCCCGACGTGGGGCTCGAACTCACAAACCATAAGATCACGCCCTGAGCTGAAGTCAGACACTGAACTGACTGAACCACCCAGGCACCTCAATAAAATAAACATTAAAAAAATTGATCTTGAATCACATTAACAAAAAATCTAGCTAAAATGTAAGTGCTATGAGGCAGGTACAAGAAAGATACTGGGTATAAAACGGTAACATGGCTGTATCTTAAAAACAGTTTCTGAGACCAAACAGAAGAAAGAAAAAAGAGAATTATAACGGATTACAATTTATGCAAATTAAACTAGATGCACACAGAACATCGACACACATTTAACAAAAACACGAAAACTGAAGGATATACATCAAATAAATGAGAATGGTTGCTACAGGGGTAGAGAGGAAATTAAGTGTGGAGAATAGGAACGAAGGAAGGAATGAAAGAATGAACAAACAAAAAAACAAGGCCTTCCAGCATGGTGCGGTGATTAACAGCATCGACTCTGGAACCATCTACCTGGGTTTGAACCCGTGCTGCGCGGCTTAGTAGCTATGTGCCCTTGACCAAATCAGTCGCCTCTCTGGAACTTGGCTTTCCCACCTTCAAAATGGGGCTCACCATAGTTCCTACTTCATCTAAAGTTGCCATCTGGGTTCAATAAGTTAACAGTGCCATTTATAAACACTTAGATCAGCTTCTAGCAAATAGTAAGCGCTCCATGCAGGGTTATTAAATTAAAAAAAAAAAATAGGTGATGATAATACATGCAGGAACTGAGGAATCTGAAGAACTCAAACCTCTCCGTCTGGCCGTGACCTGAGGGCCTTTCCTTTGTACAGAAGTGGCCGGCTTAAAATATAGCATGCAATTGTTAGGCCACGGGATTCTAGCTTGATAGGATGAACTCAAGACAACGGTCCGGGAAAGTGACAGGGAAGTGGCATTCTGCGTCCATCCTCTCTACTAAAGAGAAAACTTGGAAACCGGTAACCCCAATCGTTACGTCACACACCGACTAGTACTGCTAGTGATGATTTATTTTTTTTTTTCAACGTTTATTTATTTTTGGGACAGAGAGAGACAGAGCATGAACAGGGGAGAGGCAGAGAGAGAGGGAGACACAGAATCGGAAACAGGCTCCAGGCTCCGAGCCGTCAACCCAGAGCCTGACGCGGGGCTCGAACTCCCGGACCGCGAGATCGTGACCTGGCTGAAGTCGGACGCTTAACCGACTGCGCCACCCAGGTGCCCCCTGCTAGCGATGATTTAATCCCAGAATCTCACAATAGGAAAGCAAGAAGAAGTAAACAGAGTGAGGCTTAGGAAACAGCCAAACTTGGGGCGCCTGGGTGGCTCAGTCAGTTAAGAGTCTGGCTTTGCTTCAGGTCACGATCTCACAGTTCGTAGGTTTGAGCCCCACGCCGGGCTCTGTGCTGACAGTGCGGAGCCTGCTTGCGACTCTCTCTCTCTCCCTGCCCCTCCCCGATTTGTGCTTTCTCTCTCTCTCTCTCCAAATAAATAGACATTAAAAGAAAGAAAGAAAGAAAGAAAGAAAGAAAGAAAGAAAGAAAGAAAGAAAGAAAGAAAGAAAAAGGAACTAGCCTAATTTCCATCTTTGTCTGTCAGTGCGATCACCATTTTCCTGGTACTCCTGGCCTAAATCTTTGCAGGCAGCACTGAATAATCTTTTTTATTAAAAATATTAGACATTATCGGGAAACCAAAGAAAAAGGAGACTGATTTTTTTTTTCCCCTTCAAATGTCAGGTATTATTTCTTTCCTGTATCTAGTAAGTCACCAAGCCCGTCGATCTCCTTCCACTGAAATGTTTCTTGCATCTAGCCGACCCTGTTTCCATGGTAACCATTATAGTTTGAATTCTCATGACTTGGTTCCCGCATACCAGTCCCTCCTCACTCTAATGTACTTCAGAAACATTCTGTTGCCCACCACAGTGACAAATTCAAGTTAAAAAAAAAAAAATCGATACAAATCAGAAATACAACATTAGGTACTGGCTAGGTCACTCTACAAATAAAAAGCTAACCAAACACATTTGGGTCCAACACGCCTATGGAGAGAAAGTCTCATCCCCAGAAATAGGCACAGAGACAGCAAGAGATCTAAACCCCGGCTGAGGTCAACCATAAAATCTTGGTGCTCAATCGATGTTTGTTGGAGACATAAACGAACAACGGAGATCTGGGGGACGTGGAGGCGGGCTGCTGATGTCAAAAGAGCAACTTGGTGCATTTGCTGTAAAAGCAGCCGGAGTTAAGGAAACTTGTGGCACTGCTGAGGGTTCAGAGCAAAGCAGGGGAAACTCGACAGTCGGAAGAGGCCCGAATTGGGTCGTAACTCTGGGTAGGAACTTTGTTACCAACAGCCTGGGACTGTCGGCCTTGTGGGGAGAATCAAAAGCAGGGCCTGCTTATCTGGGAGACTCCAGACACAAAACACCTCGGGACACATCGCTTATCCTCTGTCCCTGCTGCTGAAAACGTCGTCAATTTTCAAATGGCTGACAACAAGGAAAGAACATGCTCATAAAAAATGACTCAAGTCAGGGTGGTTGGGGAGGCGAAGCAATAGTTTTCTCCATGTTCCAGTCTTCCCATAACAAATGTTATATTGCCTCTACAATTTTTTTGAGATTTTATTTTTAAGTAATCTCTACACCCAACGTGGGGCTCGAACGTACAACCCCGAGGTCAAGAGTCACATGCTCCACCGTCTGAGCCAGCCAGGCGCCCCTGCTTGTACAATTTAAAACTTGAGGGGCGCCTGGGTGGCTCAGTTACGTGACCAACTAAGACGGTGCTGACAGCTCAGAGCCTGGAGCCTGCTTCAAATTCTGTGTCCCCCTCTCTCTCTCTTGCCCCTCCTCCACTCATGCTCGCTTGTTCTCTCTCTCTCTCTCTCTCTCTGCCTCAAAAATAAGTAAACATTAGAAACAATTAAAAAAAAAGACCTCTACTTAAGATTTTGAGGGTTGGGGGAGGACAAAACGGGCAAAGGGAGTTCAAGGGTACAAATTGCTAGTCAGAAAATAAGTCCTGGAGATGTCATGTACAGCCTGGTGACTGTGGTTAATAACACTCTATTGCACACGTGAAAGTTGCTAAGACAGAAGATGTTAAAAGTTCTTACCGTAAGAAAAACTTACAACGGTGTGGTAATGGATGTTACCTAGGCTTATCACGATCATTTTGCAACATACACAAATATCACATCATTGTGTTTTACACCCAAAGCCGATATAATGTTATACGTCAATAACGCCTCAATAGAAAGATTTCATTTAAAAAAAAAAAGGATGTGAGGGACACCTGGGGTAGCTCACTTGGTCGAGCGTCTGACTCTTGATTTTGGCTCGGGTCACGATCCCAGGGTTGCGGGATCGAGCCCCGTGTTGGGCTCCACGCTGAGCGTGGGAGCCTGCTTGAGATTCTCTCTCCCTCTCCCTGTCTCTGTCTCTCTGTTCCCCTCCCCTGCTCGCATTCACGCTCAAATAAAAAACAATAAATCAATAAATAAGTAGATAAATAAATAAAGGGATATGCATGTATAAAACCCATTCATTTCACTTGAAAAGGTGCACAAGCTTTTTTACACATGAAATGATATTACGTTACACAATTTAAATTGTCTTACTTTCAAACAGTGCTTAAAGCTGTACGATGGATATCTATCAGACCCTTCTCCGCTTTCAACGCGCCTCTTACAAAAGACAATGGCTTTTTCATACAAGAACAGATGCCGCTGCATTGGTTTGAATCTAGCAAAATCCTTCATTTTTGTAGCACCTTTCTTGTGTCCAGTCCAAACACTGAATGCTCCCTGCATTACCATCTTGCCCAGTTCATTTAAGTTTCCCTATGAAGGAAAATCAACACTCATCAGTACAAGGTGGAGCTACATTCGGGCCTCTGACATCAACGTCGTACTGTGTAGGTTGAGCTACTAAATTCCTGCAACACAATTTGTACGGTCTTTAAAATTTCATTCATCACAACTTTACATGAAAACATGCCATGTGTCACACGGGTACATAATTAGGGCGGGGACAAGAGACAGAAGACCGCTCCTTTTCCCTGGCTTCCTGTCTCCATGTGGATGTATTTAGGGTAGGCCCACCCCCCACCCCACCCCCCGCCCATCTTCTCCTCAATCCTGATTGGCGATTGACATCTACCGGTCCAGGGATCCCCACTAGGCAGAGCTAAGTCTAAAGACTTGATTTTTTTTCTTCCGTATCTATCTGGGACTATGCGAGCAGCAGTTCCGGGACAATACACCTCCTTAGAAGACCAAAACATTCCTTCAAACAAGATCTCCCATTCTTTGGCTCTTTATTTCTCAGTTGGTTCCGGGTGGCGACGAAGAAAGAGATCTTAACTTGCTTACCCACAAAACTGCGACAATCATTACAATTTACTTACAATATAGCCATTTATTGCGATCTGATGCATGGAGTCATTAAGTGACTTCAGTAAATCCAGCATTGTGTCCACAGCCTCCTTTAATTGTTCAATCCCTTGGCAGCCGTTGCTATATTTCAGCAGCTCCTGTGATTAGAAGTCAAAAATTAATATTGGGCAGGTATTAATAGCGGCAGAAAATGAATACATTTCTGGCTAACATGCTTTCAAGGAGGAGTCCACAGATAATGTCATTTTGTGAGTAATACCTTTCATTTGCTACCCGTCCCATTAGTACTATATTTTAAAAACTGTGTCAAAATTTGGGAAAAAATGGAATAGTGACTAAACGGCATCGAGTCAAGGGCACTCGCCGCTCTTGAAGCTGCAGAAAAACAGCTATTAGGACCCACTAGAGATTTATGTTTAAAGTAATCACACTTTTCTGGCCTTCGACATACAACAATTTGTGTTATTCATTTTGCCTCGATCACAGAACACCGTGAAAACATACTGTTAAATAAGCTCGGTGCTTACACTTAACACAACATTTTTGTAACCTGAATTTCAACGTGACACGAGGGGTGAGCCTCCTCCAATTTTCATCAAGAAGACTCCTACGAAATACTGTCTCAAACTCTAAGAAATGTGTGTTTAGTTCTTCCCAACCATAGTAAAAAGATTGGGGCGCCTGGGTGGCTCAGTCAGTTAAGCGTCCGACTTTGACTCAGGTCATGATCTCGCGGCCTGTGAGTTCGAGCCCCGCGTCGGGCTGTGTGCTGACAGCTCAGAGCCTGGAGCCTGCCTCGGATTCTGTCTCCCTCTCTCTCTCTGCCTCTCCCCTGCTCGCTTGCTCTTGTGGTTGCTCGCACTCCCTCTCTCTCGAAAATAAACATTAGGGGCACCTGGATGGCTCAGTCAGTTAAGTATCCAACCCTTGATCTCGGCTTGGGTCATGATCTCAGAGTTCATGGGTTTAAGCCCCGCATGGGGCTCTGAGCTGACAGCTCAGAGCCTGGAGCCTGCTTCACATTTTTTGTCTCCCTCTCTCTCTGCCCCTCCCCCGCTCGTGCTCTGTCTGTCTCTTTCTCTCTCTCTCTCAAATAAATAAACATTAAAAAAAACTGTTTTTAAATAGTAAAAGTTCGGCATTACACATACATCAATGTAACTGGTATGGATAATTAACTCGCTATAAAGACTCCAGACAGCCTCAGATTACATCTATGCGCCGGGCACTTTAAGGGCCACAGTGAACCCAGGCCCCGAGCCTACCTATTCATGGTGCTTCCTAGTCACCTGCTTCCTTTTTAATGGCTTTGATACATTTGACCCACAGAAGGAAGGAAGGAAGGAAGGAAGGAAGGAAGGAAGGAAGGAAGGAAGGAAGGAAGGAAGGAAGGAAGGAAGAAAGAAAGGCTTTATGTAATTACCTTTAACAGTAACTGATACTTAGTGATTCGTTGCACGGGTTTGAGTAAATAGGAATCCAGACCAAGCCTGTGTTTTAATTTTCTTTGACATTCCTGTCATTAAAATATAATTATCAATGAATTTAAAACATGTACCCATGAAAATACCAAGCATTCACTGATTAGACCCAATGCATGCAGGTTTCTTACATCTCAAGGGAAATTTACCAGGAAAACCACTGTTACATATGGTGTGGAAATTATAAGCAGCGGTATACGTAAAAAAACCACTGTAAATGTTGCCTTAAGGATTTGAGAGGTATAAAATGCCAAGATTTCAAATACTAATAAGTTTTTACATAAAATTTGCATTGATGTGGAATGCCTAAAAGATGAGAAAGCAATGAATGACCATAGATGAACATGATTAAACATGAAACATGACTAAAAAACGTACGTAAGAAAATTTTTAAAGGGCTCAGCTGCACAGGTCAAGGCCAAGAAAAGAAACAGGTTGTACTGAATATAAATCAAACTGGGTATGAGGAGAGGTTTTTTGAACACCACAAGAAAAATGGAGACCTCATCAACTGGTGCTATATTTCATCTGATTATTGGCTCACTGCCACTATAAATATGAGGGTCATGCCTTTGGGTCCTGGGAACATTGTAGGGTCCCTAACTAGGGCGAGATGGGGCTGATTTGGATGAAATGTACATGCAAGCAGTACAGAACACAGAGAGAGTAGGAGAGGCTATATATGTGTAAGATCTGGGACCTGCCTCTGAATATAGATAAAAACCAATATACAATCTAATGCACACAGTTAGCAGCTTATGGTTAAAGATGATGGACCGATACATCCATTTAGCTCCTCTTACTCATGAAACCCAACTGAAATGATTAAAAAAGTAATTTTTACAAGGCAAAACCCAAAGTTACAAAGATGGGAGAGGAAAAACACATCAACCAAATATGGAAACTGAACGCCAAAGTGATAACGTTAGACAACTGTGCACGCTAGAGAAACGTGACTCTCAAGTTGGCAGAGTTTTCGGAAAAGCCAAGGAACAAGTCAGTTTATGTTATAGAACACCTTCCCCCCGCTTCCACAAAGACTCCAGAATTACAGACATCAAGGACCTCTGAAAGGGGGGAAATGAAGGTCAGGTTTCAAAAAATGTGGTTGTTGAAAGTCTGCTTAAGAAGTAAGTAGAGGGGCACCCAGGTGGCTCAGTCGGTTAAGCATCTGACACCTGATTTCTGCTCGGGTCATGATCTCACAGTTCGTGGGTTTGAGCCCTGCATCAGGCTGTGCACTGACAGTGCGGCTCCTGCTGGGGATTCTCTCTTTACCCGTCCCCTGCTTGCTCGTACTCTCTCAAAAATCAATAAACTTAAAAAAAAAAAAAAAAGTACATCAAGATACTGGGGTGCCTTAGTGACTCAGTCAGCTAAGCGTCCAAGCCTTGATTTGGGGCTCAGGTCATGACCCCAGATTCATGGGATCAAGCCCGGCATTGGACTCTAGGCCAAGCATGGAGTCTCCTTAAGATTCTCTCTCACCTTCTACCCCTCCCGCTGCTCACACATGCTCTAAAAAAAAAAAAAAAAAAAAAAAACCAAATAAATAAATAAATAAATAAATAAATAAATAAATAAATCTATACCTTTAAAAAAAAAAGTAGACACTAACACACATTGGTGCGAGTGTGCAGTGATCAGGACATCACACACTGCTGGCCGCGATGTAAAATGGTGCAGCAACTTGGGAAAACAATCCAACAGTTCTTCAAAAAGCTAGAGAGAGTTACCAAATGACCCAGCAATTTCATACCCAGGTACATGGCCAAGAGAAATGAAAACATATGTCCACAGAAAAACTTGTACATAAGAGGTGGAAAAGAACCAAATTACCATCAACTGATGAATGGGTACACTGAATGTGGAATACCCATACAGTGGAAAGAAGAACTCATATCTGCCACATGGATGAACCCTGAAAACATCATGCCAAGTGAAATCAGCAAAACACAAAAGATCACATATTTTATGATTCCATTTATATGAAATGTTTAGAACAGGCAAATCTAGAAAGACAGAAAGTAGCTTACCAATCACAGAAGGCTGTTGGATGGGGGGGGGGGGGGGGCGGAATAGGGGGTAATTACTAAAAAGGTATGGGGTTTTTTTTTTTTGTTTTTGGAGTCATGAAATTGTTCTTAAACTGATTGTAGCGATGGTTGCCCAACATTGTGGACACAGTAAAACTACTTAATTACACATTTGAAAAGGCTGAATTTTATGGAATTTTAATTACATCTCAATGAGTGGTTACCCCCAAAATTAAATGAGCAGAAAAGTTAAAAAAAAAAAAAAAAAAAGGAGAGAAGGCTCAGAGAACCATGCCACCTTGCACAACTAGGTGGATGCCTGTCCCATCGCATAGCAGGAGAATAGATGTTTACCTGAAAAAAGTAAAATGGAAGGCCTATGAACTAGGGCATATCTGATCCAGTTGAAGACAGAGTACCATATTGAAAGCAAAGAGATTACTTGACTATTTATGTACCAAATTAAATACTCTCAGCGTTTTCACCTAAGGTGGCTACCAGAATACTGGCAACCAGATCCTTATTCACCAGGTAGTAGACTTAGGAATCTAACCAGCTTGAGAAAGATACAGGTGTGGGGATCCCCTCAAGGAAACACCTTGACACAAATCACTCAATAGTGAGGACCATGGTCCATAAATCCACATATGTGCAGGAAAATTCCAGCGAGCTTTGCATTCTAGTGCTTACTCTCAAGGTAAGTGGCCAAACAAGTGTCACCAGACATTTGTGGGAAGTATCAAATATGAGTGACAGGAACAAAATGAAGAAAAAGAAAAAACAAAAGCAATCTGAAGACAGCAGAAATTATGCAAGGAGAAGAAAACTAGTTTTAAAAGGAAAATCTATTCTTATTACCCTCATAAAGACAAGTGACGATACTGAATTCATGAAATGAAAACAGGGTTCTATTGAAAGGAACATTGAGGGAACAAAAAAGGGTAGAGGCTCTACAAAATTAAAAATATAATGGCAGACACAAAACTCTCAATAAAAGGACTGAAAGACAAATTCCAAAAAATAGAGCAAGACAGCCAGAAAATAAAAAGAAAAGATCAGAGAATTAGAGGAATGGTCGAGAATGTCCAACATCTGTACAACAAAAATTCCAGAAAGACAGAATGGAAAAATTGTGCAGAGAAAATCAAAGAAAAAAATCCAAGTAAATTTGGACAAGAGGCTCCAAATTCAAAGGGATCGCCACAAGACTAACATAATGGATGAAAATAGCGCCAATGTCATGGCACTATTTGTGAAATTTCAGAACTCCAAAGATACAAATGTTCCCATAAGCTTTCAGAGAGAAGACAAAAATAGGTTACACACAAAGGATGGAAAATCAAAATGGTGGGGCACCTGATAGCTCAGTCGGTTAAGCATCTGACTCTTGATTTCAGTTCAGGTCATGATATCATAGTCATGAGAGCGAGCTCTGCATGGGGCATGGAGCCCACTTAAGATTCTCTCTCTCCCTCTCCCTCTGCTGCTAGCCCACTTGTGCTCACTTGTGTGTGTGCATGCTCTCTCTCTCTCTCTCTCTCTCAAGAAAATAAATAAATAAAAATAGCATCAGGTTTCTTAACAGCAACACTGGAAGCCAGAAAACAGTGTAGCAAATACCTTTAAAATTCTGAGGAAAATTATTTCTTACTTACTGGGTATAGACTTCTATACCCAGCCAAGCTAGCAATTAAGTGTTAGGGTAGATACACTCAAGACATTCGTAGACATGCAAGTTCTCAAAACTTTTACCTCCCAGTAGACATACAAGCTCTCAAAACTTTTACCTCCCAGGCACACTTTCTCAGTAAAACTGCTGGAGGATATGTTCTACAAAACAAGTGAGTGAAACAAGGAAAAACTATGGCACCTAGGAAACAGGAGAGCCTACGCAAGAGACCACGAACAGAATCCCAAAAGTTATATTCAACAAGATCCCAGGTTGACAGCTGTGCAACAGGTCTAGTGAGCCTTGATGAGCAGATCAAAAAAGTCCAGGAGGGATTAATTCAAAATGAAATTCAGAGAAAAAAGAATATGTTTAAGTGTACTAAGAAGAAATTTATGTAACTCTCTTAACTCGGAGAGTCTATGGGTAGGTAGAATAGGGAAAAGTATCTAAAAAATTAAGGAAGTAAAAAAGACAATTGCAGGGGGAAAAAAAGGGATGGAAAAGCAACCATCTTATACTGGAGGATTCGTCTGAACATAAGAATTACCTAGTCTTACTAATTTACCACTGTATCTGTATAACTAAACTTATAACCATATTGGATGTTTTGGAGGAAAAGAAGTAGGTGTATGTATCTGATGGTGAGGCAGGGGCAGTGAAAGAGGGCTAAAGTAGCGATATAAATGTTATTCACCAACATGGAAGTAAATATCAAAGGAAGCAGCTGAAAGAACTGACAGTGGTTGCCTCTGGGAAGCAGCATACAGATTTGTGCGCATGTGCGCACGCGTATGCACGTACACATTGTGTGGCGGGGTCAAACTCTTCTTTGATCTATCTGTATTATATACGACTCACAGTAGGAATGGATTCATAAATAAGAACTATCCCAGTGTCTTCCGGAAAGAGTATATCCAATACCTGAATAATTACTATACCTGGAAAAAGGCGCATTCTGAATACTTCTTCCAAATTGCCTCTGATCTGGGTTTATTCTGACAGTATTTTGCATACATCTGAAAATCATCTTTCTGTGATAAAAAGCACATTCAAACGTATTATCAATCTGTGAACATGTACTGTTCTTATCAAGAAAGGCTGAGCTAGAATGAGTAGAGCCAAGCATTACATGTGGCCTAAAGGGCCTGCCACACTGGCAGTAAGTCAGGATCCCTCTCTGGAATCCAAGAAACACAGGCCCACCACCTGAGCAGAGGAACACATAAGTATCTCAGTAATCTCACCACCTCCACTTACCAAGTTGGAGAGCTAGGGAAAAGCCTTCTCCGACTGAACTATACAAATAGATGAATTTGTTCACAGCTGTAAGCCAAGAAGGTACCAAGGAACACGCCATCTCCATGCCACCAGCCTCTCAGTTCCCTAGTGAATGAACTTGTGGCTAACTTCCAAGTCCCTTGGCTTGTCACTGGGATATCATCATTGTACCATGACCCCGCTGGGTGTGTGACCATGCTATTCTCTGCCCCTGGAATCGTCTTTCCTGGACCCTCATCTAATGGGCTACCTCCTAGTCACTCTCTAACTCCCACCTCATGAGTCATCTCTTCTGGAAAGCCATGCTTTATACCTCCAGTCTATGTCAGATGCCCCTCTTCTTGGCTCTTACGGGATCTTTCGTATATCCCCGATATAGCACAACTCACACCGTATACAATGATTTTCCCCCTGTTCTTCTCTGTGAATATAGTCTTGGTCAAATATAAAATCTCCAACGAGCAGCACAGACATTAAGTACTATGGGAGCCCGAAGGAAAAAGACTGGTGTTGCTTAGGGAAGTCAGGGAAGAATCTGGCTACCATTTAAATATGTTTAAAGTCCGAATACATTGAGAAAGGTAAGGACAAACAGCTTTTTTCTTAACCATATCATATTCTGAGTCCATTAACGCTTTCTGGGATAAGACATCTCTTTGGAAGCTTTCAATGATCACCATTATCAAATTGACTCTCAAATCAAGATGGAACTGATTTTTCAGGAAGAGGAGGAAGTAGATATGTAGATAAGCAGAGAATATTCTAAGGAAAATTCTAACGGAGGAGAGTATGATTACAAAGCTTGGGAAGTCCATTGTGCTAAGTATTCTCTTGGGATGTGGAGAAATGAGCCTCCCTGAATGATCTCATAGAATAAAAAGAACAGACAGCCCTCTGTTTCGCAAAGTCCCCGTGATAGATGCCCTGGTGTCTGAAAGCCAGACTACGCTTGATTCTAAGACTTTACATGCATTAGAGGGGAATACCAAGGCATCTCTTCGGCTAAAAATTAACCAATCCAAGAATGGTTGAGCTAAGATGATTCCTACTCTCACATCTTCATAGCCAGGCTGGTCCCGGGACTCCTGGGATCACCCAGAGGTCAGTGGGCACAAGCTGAGCCATTGAAGCGTCTGATTCCGTCAGTCTCTGTAACAAAACTGGGTTTACCATTAAATACCTGCTGGAGTGATGGGTCTCCTCCCAAAACATAAAGACATAAAAAACAATACCTACTTTGTCTCTAAATCCGGTCCTATACAACGAGCTGCTATTTTAGTGGCCCATATTTATATATTTTTAAATAATAATTAACAAACCCTTTCGAGGAAACAAGGTCCCACTCTCTCTGGAGCGTCAACGCAATTTTCCAGACTGCTCAAGAAAATGCTGTGAAGATGTCAGAGGAAAAAAAAAAAAAACAAACCATGATATAATTTTACATCAAATACAGTAAATTAGTCAACAGCCCTTTAAACAATACGATGCAAAAGAAACATTCAATTCGGCAATTACATACTCGTTATGGAATTCATAGATTTCTGCCATATTTCCAAAGAGGACATCCTTTTTATTTCTCAGGAGAGGTGGCATAAGATCAAACATCTCAGGATTGTCCATCTCCGCTCTGTAGCCCTACCCAAAATAAATACATTTGTTCATTTAAACCACGTTCACGTTAATACTCGGTTGGGCCACCAAAGGGTATAGCTACAACAGAAATGTGTACAGCGAGACTCCTGGGTGAAAGCTGTTTGTAACTCCAACAATCAAATCTTCCAGTACCCGAAGTTACCCATTTACAAAAAATTGTCGTTTTCAGAAAGCCAGACAAGGAAACCATCGCTGCCCGCTCAGCGCGTAGAACAAAGGGACTCTCTTGGCCTTCGGGGTAGCTTGATGGTATAGGAAACAAACTAGAAATCAAGCAGGAAAAACTGTATTACAGGTCATTAACCTCTCCTTAAGCTGCCAGTACGTGTGTGGGTTTTCAGAGCACATTAACATTATGACAGGTGTATCAAATGAATGGTTTTCTTTTACCTTTAACTCTTTCCAGCACCGTTTCTACACAGCACAATTCTCACTACTGAGGGAGAACCCGAATACGCACATTTAACGCATGGGCAGCCTCAAACAATGGGAGAAACACCTACTGCTGGCACGTGACAAGGAAGGAAAGAGAGAAGACTGTCCTCAGTATTTCCTAATGAATGTAGCAGGGAGAGCACTGGGGCGAAGGTGGGAAAATAGGATTTGAGTCACTTACCAACAAAACAGTAAACAGCTCGCGAACATAGACCCTCTCTGTCTGTATCAGCTCATTTAGGACGTGGCTAAAGCGAAAAGACAATATTTATCAGTTATTTTGTTGCCTTGGAATTATGATCTTTCAATCGTTATCATCATAAGTTGTCCAAGGTAAAAATTGTTAACACCTAGGAACTACCAATGGTTTTGGCTTTATCATCAAAATATGGAGTGAATCGTATAGTCTCTAGAATAAATACCACCCACAAGATGCTTTAAAATATATTGAAAATAGAAAATAAAATATATTGAAAACAGGGGCTGGCACCTGGGTAGCTCAGTTGGTTAAGCTTCCAACTTCAGCTCAAGTAATAATCTCATAGTTCGGGAGTTCGAGCCCCGCATCGGGCTCGGTGCTGACCGATCAGAGCCTGGAGCCTGCTTCGGATAGTCTCCCTCTCTCTCTGTCCGTCCGTCCATCCCTCCCTCTCTCTCTCTCTCTCTCTCCCCCGCCCAAATAAATAAACATTAAAAAAATTAAAAAATAAAAATAAAATATATTTAAAACAAAGGAAAGGGGACTCAGGACTTATTTTTCAAAATGAAAAAAAAAAAAGCCCACTTTATTTCTATCTCACTAAGCTTAAGAATCAATTTATTAAAAACTCAAAAATCTATTCCTAAAACTTTGGTTTATTTTGTTGTGGGGGGTAGGGAAAAACACAGTTTCTCTTTCTCCCTCTCCAAAAACATAATGACATTAACATTTAATGCCCGATTTTCCCCTTTCCCAGTAATGTTCTGAAATTTTCCAAGACCTGAAATGGATTTATTTTACTGGTTTTCCTAAATATAGATCATATTTAAACCTTAGTAATTTTGATCTCTTTAAAATAAAATACATTCTTCTTCCAATGTGATTTCTAATTGACACTTTTTTTTTTTAAGAGAGGGAGAGGGAGAGAGAGAGAGACAGACAGACAGACAGACAGAGAATCCTAAGCAGGCTCTACGCTCAGCAAGGAGTCCAACACAGGGCTTGACCCCAAAACTCTGGGATCATGACCTGAGCCGAAATTAAGAGCCGGACGCTCAACTGACTGAGCCACCCAGGCAACTCAATACCATATTTAAAATCCATTTCCTGGGGCCCCTGGGTGGCTCAGTTGGTTGAGTGTCCAACTTCAGCTCAGGTCATGACCTCCTGGTCCGTGAGTTCAAGCCCCACATCGGGCTCTGTACAGACAGCTCAGAGCCCGGAGCCTGCTTCAGAATCTGTGTCTCTGTCTCTCACTGCTCCTCCTCTGCTCATGCTTTGTCTCTCTCTCTCACTTTCTCTCTCAAAAATAAATAAACATTAACAAAATAAAAAATAAATAATAAATAAAATTCACTTCCTCACTCTCCAATACAGGTTACACATTTAACTTCTACCTTTGACTTTCTTTTATTTTTACATTTATAAGCATTATTTATCTGAATATGTATCACTACACAACTCTAGGATACAAAATTTTAAAGGTGAATCTTCTTCTTTTGTTTTAATTTTTTTAATATTTATTTATTTTTGAGAGAGAGAGAGAGAGAGAGAGAAAGACAGAGCACAAGGTGGGGAGGGGCACAGAGAGGGCGAGACACGGAATCAGAAGCAGGCTCCAGGCTCTAAGCTGTCCGCACAGAGCCCGATGCAGGGCTCGAACTCACAAACCGCGAGATCGTGATCTGAGCCAAAGTCGGATGCTCCAACCGAGCCGCCCAGGCACCCCCCCAAAAGGTGAATATTCTTATGTCTAAAATAGTAACGTTATAAAAGTGAGCACGCTATTTTTAACATCTCTAAACTCTAATTTTCAAGTCACACAAACAGAGCACATTCGCCTTGACCACTGAATCAGAGATTCCTACTGGTAGATGCATATAGAAGTGTATGTCAATAAAGAAACGATACTTCTGTAAAATATCCAAGCTATTGTCGTTGTCCAGACTGGAGGATTGACCAGGATTTCTCTGCTCCCGACAATCATGCACCACTTCGATCTGAAATGACGAAAATAAGACTTAAATTAGCATCTATGTACGTATAGTTCCTCTTGAAGGAAATCTAGTTCAAACTAAGTTTTCTCTAGGTCCTAACTGTGTACATAACTTGAAAAAGAACACTAGGATTTTTTTTTTCAGGTTTAAGATGCTAATTAGAATTCATTTTACACATTAAATAATGTTCTATTTGGCACTTTGGGGAAGTGAGGTTAATTTATAAAACGTTGAATTTCCAGATAACGCAAGTTTATTTACTGAAGAAAAAACCCAGCTTTTTAACCTTAATGTTTTTTAATGGAAGCCTTTCTAGGAAATATTACATGAATCCTGGAGTCCTTTAATCAAGGATACACAACATCATTGACTCTCTTTCCAATGATCCAGTGGTATCATCAGGAACATGAATGATGTGATAAAATCCAAGGATAACACTCTGGGGCTAATAACACGTGGGTAACTATTCTTTCTTAAAATGGCCATAACTTGTTTATTTCTGCCTCTGCTCTCTGCCACATGTCAGCTTTTGCTACAGGTGATTTCTCTGATCCTAAACCACGATCTTATTTCGAAGATTCTACAGTCCTTGAAGAATATCCGATGGAAAAAAAGACAGTCTCTTTAACAAATGGTGCTGGGAGAACTGGACAGCAACATGCAGAAGAATGAAACGAGACCACTGTCTTACACCATTCACAAAAATAAACTCAAAATGGATGAAGGACCTGAATGGGAGACAGGAAACCATCAAAACCCTAGAGGAGAAAGCAGGAAAAAACCTCTCTGACCTCAGCCGCAGCAATTTCTTACATGACACATCTCCAAAGGCAAGGGAATTAAAAGCAAAAATGAACTATTGGGACCTCATCAAGATAAAAAGCTTCTGCACTGCAAAGGAAACAATCCACAAAACTAAAAGGCAACTGACGGAATGGGAAAAGATATTTGCAAATGACATATCAGATAAAGGGCTAGTATCCAAAATCTATAAAGAGCTCACCAAACTCCACACCCGAAAAACAAATAATCCAGTGAAGAGATGGGCAGAAGACATGAATAGACACTTCTCTAAAGAAGACATCCGGATGGCCAACAGGCACATGAAAAGATGCTCTACGTCGCTCCTAATCAGGGAAATACAAATCAAAACCACACTGAGATACCACCTCACGCCAGTCAGAGTGGCTAAAACGAACACATCAGGAGACTATAGATGCTGGCGAGGATGTGAAGAAACGGGAACCCTCTTGCCCTGTTGGTGAGAACGCAAACTGGTGCAGCCGCTCTGGAAAACAGTGTGGAGGCTCCTCAAAAAATTAAAAACAGATCTACCCTATGATCCAGCAATAGCACTGCTAGGAATTTACACAAGGGATCCAGGAGTGCTGATGCAGAGGGGCACTTGTACCCCAATGTTTACAGCAGCACTTTCAACAATAGCCAAATTAGGGAAAGAGCCTAAACCATCACCTGATGAATGGATAAAGAAATTGTGGTTTATATACACAATGGAATACTACGTGGCAATGAGAAAGAATGAAATCTGGCTTTTGTAGCAATGTGGATGGGACTGGAGAGTGTTACACTAGGGAAATAAGTCATACAGAGAAAGACAGATACCATATGTTTTCACTCTTATGTGGATCCTGAGAAACCTAACAGGAGACCATGGGCGAGGGGAAGGAAAAAAAAAAAAAAAAAAAACATTAGAGAGGGAGGGAGGCAAACCACAGAAACTGAGAATAAACTGAGGGTTGATGGGGGCTGGGAGGAAGGGGAAAGTGGGTGATGGGCATGGGGGAGGGCACCTGTGGGGATGGGCACTGGGTGTTGTATGGAGACCAATTGACAATAAGCTTATTAAAAAAATCAATAAAAGTAATGTTAGTTTCAAATTAAAAAAAAAAAAAAAAAAAGACTCTACAGTCCTTGGACTGGCCCAGTGAGTCAACTACAGGAGCTCTGTGATGGCTATTTGTTCTTCGGAAGCATTAGAAGTATCTTCCAGGGATCCTGGCTGTACGGGACTTTTGAGCTTGCAAAAATCTCTGAACTCCACGTAAATGTAGCACTAGAACCCAAAAATGAAGTACAAGATCTAGCGGCTAAAAAGCATTTCCACAAAATATGACAAATCCATGTGGAAAGGAACAAACATCTATCGACTACTTCCTATATATTCCTATCTATTGTGCATATATTGTATCCATTCCCCGCCCCCAGCAATTTACCAAGCTACGGCACAGTTATCCTCATTTTACATATGGGAAAACTGAGGCTCAGAGGTATAGCAACAGGGCCAAGGTCACATACCTAACAAGTGATGAAAGAGTCAAGCCTGTGATGTGTCACCATTATGCTCCCTCTTTAAGACTATGGTTTGATTTACTCTATCTGAATGTATTAACTGTTACCATTTTCATACACTAAGACTGAAAATACCATGTACGTCACTCATCAGATAGGTAAGCATCATTTACTCCTGACAGGTTTCTGTTCCAAGGTTGGAAAGTTTTGAAACGTAACTTTATACCTTTAAGTGCCTAACGATTGTGCAGAATGGCTAGAATTGGAAGAAGGTGTGCCCTCTGGAACTGGATTCACCAGCTAGAAATCTCACCAAGAAAATGTACAGAGCCACAGCCTATTTATTCCCTGAGATATGCAAATAAAAAGATCCACATAGAGGAATGTTAAGGTGTCACGAGAGGAACGTGGAACCGTAAGACACGTAAGATGATGGAATTTGGCATTCAGTCCGTTTCTTTCTTTTTTTTTTTTTCAACGTTTATTTATTTTTTTTTTGGGACAGAGAGAGACAGAGCATGAACGGGGGAGGGGCAGAGAGAGAGGGAGACACAGAATCGGAAACAGGCTCCAGGCTCCGAGCCATCAGCCCAGAGCCCGACGCGGGGCTCGAACTCACGGACCGCGAGATCGTGACCTGGCTGAAGTCGGACGCTTAACCGACTGCGCCACCCAGGCGCCCCGAGTCCGTTTCTTTCTTGAAAACATAAGCCGTGACCGTACAACGTGATAACCAGGCATGGTATATCAGTATAGGCCATTCACTAGCCTAATAATGGCATGGGACACTTAGAACACTACCGTATGCCACGCATCATTGGAAATACTTCCCAAATATTATCTCATTTTTACACTAACTCTATGATGAGGGTGTTCTATTATCCCCATTTTATAGATAAGGAAACGGGAGTGCGAGAGAATTTACCCGAGATCGTACAGCCAGTGATTGTCGGAGTTGGGATGAAAACCCAGGTAGTCTCTACAATTGCTCAATAATCCGTATCACTGCTATACTGCCTCTTGGAGATAGATGTTCTTGTCCTTACTGACCATCAAGAAGACACAAGGAAAATGTAGGGCCCTACAGTTATGACAAGGCTACTCTCTGCAGGTACCAGAATATCATGGGTAACTGAGAAGGAATCTCGTCTCTATCAAGAAATGAACAGATGTGTGTTTTTTGAGCCCCGAGTATGGACCATTAGAACCTGTCCTCTGTCCGTGTTCCATACTTACAGGAATGTAATCAATTATGAAAGAAATCTTTTGTAGAAAGGTGCAATACTTATTTAAGTTTATTGAAGTGGTGTGGGGGAAAGAAAAGCTGGGGCTTATAGATGCTTTACAGAAACTAGTTCTGAACTTGAGCCAAGACTTAAGAAACCGCTCATACATCTGGGGATATGTCAGTACCGCAATTAGACGCAATGCATCAGTAGCAGCTTTTTCTTTTAGATTAAAGAGGCTTTTGAGCACACAATATTGGTTTAGTGGATTAAAAATATGGTTTGAGCCTCCACACCGATTCTGCAACTACAGCAATAAAGCCAATGTTGAATTAATTAATGATATTTACTTTTAAGTTGCTCTGATTTTGTCTCCAACTCTTCTTCCCTGGTAGAAAAATATGAAAGAAGAATTTCAGACCAGAATGAAAATCAACACTTTTAATTAAAATACACGAATGTATATACATGAATGTTTATTCAGCAATTAGAGCTTATTATTATTATTATTCCAGCTTATTTATATGAGTACTTTTAAATCACACTACACGAAACAGTGGACTGGTCAGATTTAGCTGTAGGATTTCGACTTCTTCTTCAGCATCATCTTGCTATGTGTTCACCCATTCTCTGACTCATCAAGCATTCCCCTGATTGCCAAGTGACCACGAAGAGTTAGTAACATTTATTTGGCACTTACTGCATGCCAGGTACTGTTCTAAGCCCTACACGGCCATTTTGTTCTTTAATCCTCCAATCGACCCTACCCGAAAGGGACGATTTCTATCCCCACTTTGTAGATAAGTATGGTTAGTGTCTTGTCCAGGAAGCAGAGGTGGTATTCAAATATGCATAGTCCGCCGTCAGAATATATGTTTCTAACAGCTACATAAAACAACAATTCTGAAGCACGGTAAGATGCTAAAACAACACATCTTTGTCAAAATCCGAGCTTTAATCTTTCTGCTCTTCCTGTTTAATCTCTCCTCTGTCCTCTTTTTAAACACGTTGAAAGGAAAGTCATCTGTAATTTTTTTAAGTTCATTTCTTCGTTTTTAGTAATCTCTACACCCACCGTGGGGCTCAAACTTACGAGCAGAGATCAAGGGTCGTATGCTCTTCCAACTGAGCCAGCCAGGCTCCCCCCTCCTTTTCTTTCTGTTCTGTTTATGATGGGTAAGCCCCTATATTATTAAGCAAGGAGTCCAAACGTCCCTACAAAGCCCAGGGCATGGTCCAAGTGCAAGACTAGGTTGTTATTTGCAGCTTAAAAGGCTGCCACCCACACAGGCTTCATGGATCTCTTCTCTCTATGGAAGATAACTTTTTGTCCTTTCCTCCTCGGCAGAAACCACTGCAAGGCAACCTCGGGGAAAGGCGTGCTGTTTTGTTCTCCAAATTTTATACTTCGCTTTCATTATTTAAAAATATATTTTAGGGGCGCCTGGCTGGCTCAGCTAGTAGAGCATGTGACTTGTGATCTCATGGTTGTGTGTTCAAGCCCCATGTTGAGCAGGGAGCCTACTTAAAATATATACAGATGTACAATGACTGTGCTGTATGGCTGAAACTAAAGTAACATTGTGTGTCAGCTATACTAAAAAAAATTTTTTTAAATATGTATTTTTCATATACAAGTTTTACATTTATAACATCAGCTATATCAATATATAAGTTAGACGTAGTGGCACTTACCACATAAAATCAATTTCTCCATGAACACTGATGTCTACCATTTAAAAGACACCTGATCCACAGAGATCCGAACTTATTTATAAAGGGAGCCTCTCTAATTAGCTTTACTAATTGATTCCTTGCAACTGCACTAAGAGATGAAAAAGGAATATACACAAAACTCATGAGGAATGCATCCTTTTTTCTGAAAAGCAAGGTAGACAAGTTCATTCTCGCAACAACGTAAACGTACGGTAATACCTTGGCTCGCGAGCATGATTCGTTCCAGAAACATGCTTGTCACCCAAAGCGTTCATCTATCAGAGCGAATGTCAAGAACCACTGGCTCAGCTGTCACGCCGCGGTCGGCGTCACGTACTCCTCGTAACGGAGGACATCGCTCGTGCACGAAGGTAAAATTTACGGGAAATGTTTGCTCGTCCGGCAGAACACTCGCGGACTAAGTCACTCGCGATCCGAGGTTTTACTAAAATTATGGAGCACCTAGGGTACGTGCTAGGTTCTGTGTTTGGTGCTGGGGATGCAAACGTGAACTGAGCACGGTCCCTGTCCTTACAGAGTTTACAGGCTGACAAGAGAGACCGAAAAGAGGCAATTACACAAAAGCTGTGAAGACCCAAAGTGGGGGGTTGTTAGCCCACAGCATGAACACCTAATTGAACTGGGCGTGGGGCGGGGATCCAAGTGGGATTGGAGATCG